GGGGAAGCTCCGCTTGTCTGCCTCCTCCTCCCTCAGCTGCCACATTAGGTACCTTTTGGGGGAATTGGGTACTTGGTTTTCACAGATACCCATTTCCACTTACAGCTCAGTTTGTCACAGCGAACTGACTCGGAAGTTCAGTCCTCCGCTTCTTTTCCCCCAGCCTTCTGGAACAATTCACAGGTCCCAGTAGACTGTAGCCCATTCACAAAGCACAGTTCGCTTTGTGCATACGCAGTTTGAAACTGGCTGTGAAGCCGCAAGGCTTCACTGCCGGTTTCCCTTAGTCAAGATGGCGCCACCAGCACCCGATAGTCAATTAATGAATCAGCTCCAGGACACTGCTGGATGCCTGAATAGTTCATTGCCCTAAAATTAAAATTCAGCAGTTACAGTAGTTGTAGCTGCTGACTTTTAATTTTATTTCTGGGGAGGGGGGTCTGGAACTCCTCTTTAGGGAGGGGTGGTTTAGCCCTGGTGTCATTTGGAGATTGGCGGACATAGAAGGCAGTTTCCCACCCACCCTCCCTGTTTTGTCTTTTAATTGCTAGGACTTGTTGAATCAGTGGATGTCATGGCAGCTGGGAGGTTGTTGGTCTTTGAAGGAGGTAAATATTTAGCCTAAGAGAATTGTTTGGAACCCATCGGTGGTATGTGTCCCACTGGTGCATTCCTGTTAATGACTGATTAACTGGAATATGGAAATAGTTGCACTGTTGATAGTGTGTTGTCTTCAAGCCGGTGTGTTATGGCTGTTATGGTAAAAGGTTCCGCAGTGTATAATGCAACATAATTTTGGGTGCCTTCAAAGACCAACAGGCTTAGTGATGATCTGTTTCTGTTTTAGTGAATGTTTCTACTTTTTGTTAATATAAGTTGAATTGTTAATAAAAGGCTGCAAATGCCAGTTTTACTCCATCTATTGTGTGGTCTCCTTTTTTTATACAGCAATGTAAAAGGGGGATGGGGGTGAGTTTTGGGGTTATGGCCTAGTAGCCATTTGTTAGAGTGGGGGACATCTGTTCTACACTAGTCATGCACAGTGATCTGTAGATATAACAATTGGTAGCATAGGTTCCTTGAGACTGGAAAGTTATTTCAAGAGTTTCTCCACCTAAAAAAAGGTTGATAAAGGCTGCTATAAACAGTTGTTTATTTAACCCGCTGGTTCAACCCACCAGGACAAAGAGAAGTAATCGCCTGAGATTACTTCGCCTACCTCACTGACAACGACCTTCTTGACCCTTTATAGTCTGGCTTTCGCTCACTATACTCCACTGAAACTTCCCTACTAAAACTCACTAATAATTTACTAATGGCTAAAACCAATGGCCACTACTCTATACTGTTACTACTTGACATCTCCGTGGCTTTTGATACTGTTGACCATCCCCTCCTCAAAAAAAACTCCACTCTCTTGGCCTCTGAGTCTCTGCTCTCTCCTGGTTCTCCTCCTACCTATTGCAGCGCTCCTTCAGCATTACCCATAACTCTGCCTCCTCCGCTCCACTTACTCTTTCTGTAGGGGTCCCTCAAGGTTCTGTCCTTGGACCCCTTCTCTTCTCCATCTACACCTCCTCCCTTGGTCACTTGATAAACTCCCATGGCTTTAAGTACTATCTCTATGCTGATGACACACAAATCTATCTTTCTACTCCTCACCTCACCCCTTCAGTCTCCTCTCGCATTACTAACCTACTAAGTGAGATATCAGCATGGATGTCACTCCGCTTCCTCAAACTCAATCTTTCTAAAAACTGAGCTCATAATATTCCCTCCAGCCCGTGCCCCCTTCCCTGACTTCTCCATCAAGATCAATAATACAACCATCAGTCCCTCCCCTCATGCCAGGGTACTAGGTGTAGTCCTAGACTCCCATCTGTCCTTTCACCCCTAAATCCAATCACTGTCCAAATCTTGTAGACTTCACCTCCACAACATCTCCAAGATACGACCGTTCTTAACCTCTGAAACTACTAAGCAACTTATTCACTTCCTTGTTATCTCTCACCTTGACTATTGTAACTCCCTCTTCATTGGCCGACCTCATCGCAGGCTATCCCCTCTTCAGTCTATCATGAATGCTGCTGCCAGACTCATTCACCTTACTAACCGCTCCATATCTGCCATCCCTCTCTGCCAATCCCTCCACTGGATTCCTATTGACCAATGAATGAAATTCAAAACATTACCATACCTTTTGTATCACCTCCCCCTTCCTTTAGATTGTAAGCTCCACGAGCAGGGCCCTCCTATTCCTTCTGTACTGAAATGTATTGTAATTGTACTGTCTCCCTTATATTGTAAAGCTCTGCGCAAACTGTTGGCGCTATATAAATCCTGTATTATAATAATAATAACAATAACATATAAAACTATTTATAACTCTGCCCCAAATTACATCACCAATCTTGTCTCCAAATATCACCCAAACCGTACTCTCCGCTCCTTCCATGACCTCCTACTCTCTAGCTCCCTTGTCTCCTCCTCCCAAGCTCGTCTCCAGGACTTCTCCAGAGCTTCCCCCATCCTCTGGAACTCTCTACCCCAATCTATCAGACTATCGCCTACTCTGCCCACTTTTAGGTGATCTCTGAAAAGCTATCTCTTCAGGGAAGCCTATCCTGCCTTCAGCTAATAACAGAATCTTTATTCCTTCTTCCAGTCCATCCCCCACAGTTATTACCTTTTGTACCACCAGCCCCTCCCTATTAGATTGTAAGCTCCAAGGAGCAGGGCCCTCTTAACCCTCTTGTATTGAACTCTATTGTTGCTGTATTTTCTCCCATTATATTGTAAAGTGCTGAGCAAACTGTTGGCGCTATACAAATCCTGTATAATGATAATAATAACATGTAGTTTAACTGTAGCTTCATCCAGAGCTTAATTTTAAAGCAAACCTGCACTTTGTCGCTCTATTATTATTACACTTACATATATATTATTGCACTTTTTACATATATATTGCACATTCACATCAGTCCCTAACCTTCAAGGGGCATACCATTTAAGGTCTCTAACTCACATTCAGGGGCGGACTGATAACTCATGGGGCCCCCGGGCAATAGGGGATCATGGGGCCCCTGTGTCCTTGCCCACGCTCAAAGCACACCCAAAAAAAGTCTATAAAAGGTACCAGGGGCATTTCATGGGGCCCCCTACTTCCCCCGGGCCCTCGAGCAGTGCCCGAGTGCTCGAATGGTCAGTCCGCCCCTGCTCACATTCATACATACACATACTGTACTAGGGACAATTTAGACAGGAGCCAATTCACTTACCAACATGTCATCAGAGTGTGGAAGGAAACTGGAGTACCTGGAGGAAACCCACACAGACACAGGGAAAACATGCAAACTCCAGGCAGGTGGTGCTATGGTTGGGATTCCGAACCAACGACCCTAGGCCTGCCAGGTGGAAGTGCTAAACATTTAGCCACTGTGCTGCCCAGCTCTAGAGCAGACTTTCTCAACTAGGATTCTCTGGAACCCCAAGATTCCTCCAGAGATTGGTAGGGGTTCCTTGAACAATGGTCAATTTCTGCCAGTTAGCTATATATTTAACAGTGGTTAAATATCTATCTGTAAGGAAAGCATGTTTACCATGTTCAAAAGGTTGAAAAAGGCTGATCTAGAGCAACGTAACAGGTTTATTTTACAGGGCTAAAGCTGGCTATACACGTAAAGATTTACCCATCCATGTTAAACAGCATTTATGGACAAATCTCCCATTGCCAACTATTGTATTTTGACACCTGGCACCGGTGGCTGCAGTAATTCTTCAGCTGACTCTTTCCTGCCCAGCTCCTTTGCTTTCTCAGTCTAAATGTGACAAGCCAGGTAGTGTCAGCATGGCCACCCATGGCTAGAATTTTGGTCAATTCACAGGAATCAATCAAAATTCAAGCTGTGTATTACCAGCCTAGGGACACCTACCTACCTTGTATGCAACAACCTCCTATCAGCTTCTTTGTTTGCTGGAGATCCCCCTCCCCCCCATTGATTCACTGCTCAAGTTTCAATACATATCTTGGTGCTTAAGACTTTCCCCTGCCCCTGTGACAGCACTCAGGCCAGGCAATTGGCCAAGTGCTGCATTGGAGGAAGGGCAGGGGATAGAGAAATGTATGCTTTTTATACTATTAGTTCCCTCTAGAGCAGGACTTCTTAAAGTTGGGTCCATAGACCACGTGGGTTTCAGGGGGTCCATGAGGGTAAAAATAACATTTACATTCACTATACAGCCTTCCTCCCTTTGTCCCAATCAATGTTTTCCCATTGTAAAAGACTTATTAAAACACACCATGCTACTGCTAATAGCAGTAACTGCTCAGTGTCTATTGACTTGTTGGACCATGTTTACCATTTAAATTTGTATCATTGTTCTCTGCACAACCACCATTTTGTGCCATTCCATAATATCAAGTGCTAATTTTCATTTTCTAGTAGTAGTAGTAGTAGATTTGAGCACAATTAAAATTGTTTTGTTTAATTTGCACAAGATGGTTATACACTATATTGCCAAAAGTATTGGGCCACCTGCCTTTACACAAACATGAACTTTAATGGCATCCCAGTCTTAGTCTGTAGGGTTCAACATTGAGTTGGCCCACCCTTTGCAGCTATAACAGTCAAGTTCCTCCACCCCAAACTCACTCATCCATGTCTTTATGGACATTGCTTTGTGCACTGGTGCGCAATCATGTTGGAACAGGAAGGGGCTATTCCCAAACTGTTCCCGCAAAGTTGGGAGCATGAAATTGTCCAAAATGTCTTGGTATGCTAACGCCTTAACAGTTCCCTTCACTGGAACTAAGGGCTGGTGAAGGGCCTACACCATAATCCTCCCTCCCTCCATAATCACCCCTCCAACAAACTTCACACTTGGCACAATGCAGTCTGGCAAGTACGGCTCTTCTGGCAACTGCCAAACCCAGACACAGCCATCGGATTGCCAGACAGAGAAGTGTGAGTCATCACTCCAGAGAACATGCCTCCACTGCTCTAGAGTCCAGTGGCGGTGTGCTTTACACCACTGCATCCAACACTTTGCATTGCACTTGGTGATGTAAGGCTTGGATGCAGCTGCTTGGCCATTGAACCCCATTCTATGAAGCTCTCTACATACTGTTGTTGTGAAGCCTCTAGATAACAGGTGTAGAGTTATGCAGATGGCAGCATGAATATTGACACAGCCCTGGCCTATGCCGGAGAGAGATGCTTTGAAGGCATGCTGAGTAACTGTATATACTGTATTTTGTTTGCACACTGGGCTCTGGGTCTTTCATGTATAGGATTGTTCCAGCCTGGAGAAGGCCAGCTGCCCTCTCAGGCAATGCTGCTGGATCTACTGCCGTAGGCCTAATGTGGGCAACCCTAGGGCCTGGATGCTGAGGCTCAGGTTCTGCTAAAGCTGACTGAGGGGCCGTCTACTGAAGATCTGGTTTGGTATCACAGAAGTAGGCAACCAGCTGTTCTTGGGCAGTACAGACATCAGTAAAGGATACTAGAGACTGTGTGCTGCTTAACCCCTTCTGGTGCTAGAGAGTCAGCTGCAGGTCTAACTAAAAGGGACACCGCTTGGTAGTCCAAAGAGATTTGTCCACCTAATCTCCTACATAAATGGGCTCAAGTTTGCAACTACTACTGCTGCCTTAACTAAAGCTAAAGTCTACTGTTGGTTTCAAGTGTGGCCTTCAGGTTGTGCTAACCTGAAGGCCACGCAAAATTTGGAGGTCTTTATCTATTGACTCTGCAGACAGTTGGCGACTTCAGCGCATTGTGCGCTTCAATATGCACTGACCCTGCTCTGTCATTTTTTGTGGCCTACCACTTCGTGGCTGAGTTGCTGTTGTTCCCAGTTGCTTCCACTTTGTTATAATACCACTAACAGTTAACCGTGCAATATTTAGTAGCAAGGAAATTCCATGAATGGACTTATTGCATAGGTACCATGCTTGAATTCACTGAGCTCCTGAGAGCGACCCACTCTTCAACCAATGTCTGTAGAAGCAGTTTGCATGCCTAGGTGCTTGATTTTACATACCTGTGGACATGGAGGTGATTGGAACACCTGAATCCAATGATTTGGAGGGCAGACCCAATATGTTTGGCAATATATATATATATATATATATATATATATATATATATATGTAAATGGGCTTTTTTAGGAATAGAGGGAGGGTTGGGGGTTTCAGCATGCCTTGCTTCCTTGTAATAATGGTCAGTTGTCCAAGTTTTTCTGCCATTTTGACATGAGTCTCAAGTTATTCATGTCACCATAAAAGAACATATTAATTCCGGTTTAAAATGACTCTAAAAGAGTGAAGTATGAGTGAGAAATGTGGTCCAGATGATCTATGGCAGCCAGGAACTAATAGCCAACTAGTAGCACAAACTACAACTAAGTGGGTTATGTCCGTCTTCAAAGGGATAGTGCTCCCCTAGAGAAGTGTGGGCTCAGGATGTGATGGAAGACTGGGGAAAATTGCTCCTCTGGGAGTGAAAGGTGGCCCAAGCGAGGAACAAGGTAGGTGAAGACCTGTCTCCTGAAAGCAGAACAGACAGATTTTGGTCCTGGGGAACTGGCAGAAAGTCCTGTCACATGTTAGAGAATGTCAGTGTAAGGCCTAGTTCACACCTTTGTGTTTTCTGGTGCTTTTTGCAGAAACGTACTACAGTCCATTTAACATTGGTTTCCTATGGGACACATTCACATCTATGCTTTTTTCAGCGACAGCATTTTTGGAAAGGGTCAAGGATTTTTTTAAACACAAAACAGTGTGTTTTTGGTTCAATAGACTTCAATGGTGATGCTGCAGAAAAGCATGTAGTGTGTTTTTGATGTGTTTTTGACACGTTTTTCAATTTTTAATTTTCCCAACAAAAATTGTCCAAAAAAAGCTGGAAAAAAAAAATGCAAAACGCATAAAAAAACATGATAAACATGTGTGCAAGAACACCGTTCTGCCGAAACGGATCATAAGCAAACTGCACAGGTGTGAACCAGGTCTCAGAAACATTCATAGGGCAATGAATCCAGTTTGCACCCAGAGATAAAATTCTGACCCCAATACAGCCTGTCTGGTAAAGTCACCATGTTTATATGTTTGTTACACGTACATGTCACCATCTCTCATACAGAATCCAAGAGAGGAAGTGTCAAAGATGCCTCATCTGCAAGAACAAAAGGCAACAAATGGCTGGTGACACCGTTCAGCCAAATGTGCACATGATGTCAAGCACCACATTGCTGGTCGCACAGTGCTTGCCAGCCCGTCTGTGAAAACTTGATTGGTTTTTGCAAGCAAAGACTGACTTATGTACAAAGTAGACAGCTTAGAGTCCTATGGGTATGTGTATTTGTAAAATCCAAATCTTAAAAAAAATGTGTCTGCCCTTTGTAATGTGGCCATGTTTGTTACACTAGCTGATAGCATGTCACTGGAATCAAGCTTGTTTGATATTGCCGTAATTGTTAGCTAAGCCATCTTTTCCTCTCTACATCACATTTTATATTTTCTTTCTTTTTTTTTGTTGTATTTTTTTTTTTGCAGCATGCCTCAAGATGATATCAGGCATTGGGCATATAGACTCCTATACCAATAGCTTGAGGGATTACTGGGACATGAACCCCCCGTAGTGTTGGCTCAGTACAAATAAATAATCACCAAATATTTCTCTGGTTTGGAAAAGTTTAAACCTCATTTCCAGGCATAACTATTTTTTTTAATCTTTAACTTTTTTTAATCTTTTATTATACATTTTTTATTACTGGCCCATGTAGCTGGGGTACATTTACCCTAACTGAATGATGAGAGATACAAGAGTAGATTCCAAGATACTTGAGGTATTCATTTTGGGTAGTCTGACCCCTTTTGGTATGTAACTTATCTGATCTTATGTGGTTGTATTGTGTAGCATCCTCCTAGATAGGTGTTAGGCTTAGAAAGATTTAGTTTGTGTTTTGATAGGTAAATTTAGTTGTCACACTGCAGTTAGAGTGGTTAGAAATGTTGTTAGGTAAAAAGCATAACTTGCACTCTGTAATCAGTGTTGCTGTGTTCTGCTAGTTATGTCTGGTCAGTGTGTTCAGCTGCCAGCCTGATAGCTCCCTCTACTTTCAGAAAGCTTGAGAAGCTTCTGGATAATAGGTGTGGAGTTATGCAGATGGCAGCATGAATATTGACACAGCCCTGGCCTATGCCAGAGAGAGATGCTCTGAAGGCATGCTGGGTAACTGTATATATTTTGTTTGCACACTGGGCTCTGGGTCTTTCATGTATAGGATTGTTCCAGCCTGGAGAAGGCCTGCTGCCCTACTGAAGATCTTGGGCCTTGTGAGTACAGACATCCGTAAAGGATCCTAAAGACTGTGTGCTACTTAACCCCTTCTGGTGCTAGAGAGTCAACTGCAGGTCTAACTAAAAGGGATACCAACTGGAAGTTCAAAGAGCTTTGTCCATGTAATCTCCTACATAAATGGGCTGAAGTTTGCTACTACTACTGCTGCCTTAAAGCTAAAGTCTACTGTTGGTTTCAAGCACGGACGTTGTCACTGTTTATCCAAAAGAATATTTAAAGTCTTTAACTGTACATAATTCCCTCAACCCTAGTTCTCCAAAAATAAAAATAACAAAAACAACACCCCTAGACTGGTTATTTTTGGAGGAGGGAAAGGACGTGCATGTGCATTCGTTCCTTGATGCATGGTTCACACATCACAGGGATTATCCTTGGTTGTTTTACTATTCAGGGTTTAATTGGTGACCCCCTGTTTGCCTCAGCCTTGGGTCTGCTCCACTCTCAGCTCCCGAATAGAGCTCACCCTTTGAATTTATCCCTATGTCATCACTATCTTTTATCTTTTGTATATCTATTTTGGGATTGCCTCATTTTGTCTATATATATATATATATATATATATATATATATATATATATATATATATATATATATACTGTTTTTTTTTTTTTGGTGATATATACACAAAAAAATTTGGCTGCTCCTGAAGAACTGGGCGCTGTTCCACGAGACACATTGAGATTTCAGTTCCAATGTGCATCTTTTTCAGCCATGTCTATATATATATATATATATATATATATATATATACACAATTAATATATATCAACACATGGATCTAGTGTGTATGTCATGACACATGTGTTTGTGCAAGATTTTAATTTTAATATGCAATACATTTTGTATTTGTTTAAGGTAATTGTTATTAATTTTGTGGGGCACAACTCATTAAAAGTCCCATGGGCTACAATTCCTTGTTAGGTTCTCTCATGGTTTACGGAGTTTCAGGGAGATCTGCTCCCGCCTGAATATTTGTGGCCTTGTCTGTTGTGTGGGTAATAAAAATGGACTGTTTCTTTCCAGAGGGTAGGTTAGCAAAAAACAGAGTAGCTGCTGTTTCTAAAAATACAGGTTGGATGCAGAATGTGTTCTTTCCCACTGGTGGTGCCCAGGAGGAACTACAAGAATCATGAAGTAGGATGTTAAAGTGATTGTAAACCCTCGTCTTGTAAAACAACCCATTCAGTTTAAAATACAAAAGAAAGCTAAAACATTTGTAAATTATAAATATAAAAACATTATAAATACATTTTCCCCCTTTTTTTTATAACTAATCACCTTTCCTCTGTGTGGTCAGTTTTTAATAGGAAAGCAGAGGGACTGGCAGGAACACCAGGAATTTCACACAAAGGAAGCAATACAAAGAGATCAGGATGCTTTTTCATACAAGTACATCGTACAGCAGCCACATATCAGGAATATGAAATATTGGGCTTACATATTCTTTAATGCTCCTCTTTGCATTCCATGGTGTGTTGTCTATCTGTGACCAATTACAAAAAAAACAGCAGAATGTGGTAAAATAAATTTCTTAGTTGTCTACAGATGGGGTTAAAAAATCACATGCTTTCGGAAACTGAAAATGTAATTCAGTACAGAAATGTTTAAGCAAAAGACACACCCTTGTTATTCCCAATTCATGCTATTATCCTTATTTCATACAGTCCAGAATAACCATATTACATCATATTTTGAAAAGAAGGGAAAAATAATCCGCAAAACAATATTTGGAATGTTGAAATAAGCTACACCTCTAGTTTTTAAAATAATGATTGTAAATATGCAGCACAATTTTTCATATTGTGAACTCAGAATACTAACAGAAAGAGCATAATATGCATATTTGGCAATTTAATATGTCATTTGTTAGGTTTACACATCATTAAAAGACAAAGAGATATAGGTCTAAAATAGGCTCTGTCCCTCTAAATGACAGCAATGGGAAGTATGCAATCCCAGCATGTGCTGGAGTCACAAGGAGTGAATAAGAGAATATTTGCTGTATCCAATGTAAGATACGAGTTGATGGGAGAGGAGTTAATGAAGACAGAGTGAATGGATAGGAGAATGGGAGAGGAGCTCCTGGAACCATAGTAAGTGATGTGGAGAGGAGTTGCTGAAGACATAGTGAGTTGAAGGGAAAGGATTTACTGGAGGCATATTTTGCTGAAATCACAGTGAGTAAATAGCAGATGAGTTGGAGAAACAGTGAGTTTATGGGAGAGCTTGTTGGAACCATAGTGACTGGATTAGAGGGAAGCTGCTGAATCCAGAGGTAAATGTATGGGAGTATTATTTTCTGTAACCACGGTGAGTAAATTAGACATAAGTTGGAACAACATTGAGTGGATGGGAAAGGTTATGATGGAGACAAAGTGGGTGGATGGAAGAGTAGTTGTTGGAGCCATAGTGAGTGGATGGGGTTGGAGTTTCTGCAGCCATAGTGCAATGACGGGAGAATAATTAATGGATCCATGGGGAGTGAATTGAAGAGAAGTTGCTGGAGCCATAGTTAATGGATGGGAGAGTATCTGCTGGAGTTGGAGTGGATGGATGAGAGAAGTGTTGTCTAAGC